CTGGCTTTCAGAGCGAGGGATAAATCATGTCACGCGGATCAGCGTTATCACCGTAACCCCTCACGGTTCCATATAGATGGGGATTGGAGAGTGGGGATCAGAGAAAGACAAAGAGAGTGATATATATATATATATATATATATATATGACACATTGCTCTTTAAATAATTAAACTTCTGAACTCAATCGAATGTCCGAGCAAACACCCAGAACATCACCATTACAGTGCTGACAGTACGGAAAACGCTACCCACTGGAAATGCCAATGCGTGCTCTTCCATCCTGTGTTTCTTCAAAAATGACTCCATTGCTACCTGTTCAACTGCAACTCTTGTGTAACCTCGTCTTGTTGCTATGGATATGACATCAACAATGGAACAGACACATTAATCATCAAAGCTCCCTCTACGCGTGTAAACGCCGATGCATGTGCCTGTATGTGAAACAGGCTTTGTAAGGGACACAAGAGCTCTGGAGATCCACCCATATAACCACCACTCAGGTGCCTAGTTCAGATCCTGTGTTCATAACAGTGCCATGGAAACAAATGACAGGGTGTCATTTCTAGAGCGCTCACTCTTCACCAGTCACTGCACATGCACGCATGAAACCACTAAAGAGTTGCACCACTCTAGTGCACCGAATTTCAGTGCAAAACCATGCTTCTTATTTTACATACGCAGCAATACCATGGTCATGAGTTTGATTCCCAGGGAATGCATAAACTGGTCAAATTTACCTTGAATGCATTGCAAGTTGCTTTGGATAAAAGCACTTGCCAAATGCATTAAATATGAATAAAAAAAATTATCGAAAAGCAGCTTTTATATAAAGTTACTTGCAGTTAGGTTAAAGTATATATTTATCAGTATTTTCATTCCCTGGGAATTTAACCTTCAGCTAAGCTACAAGAAAAAAAATTACAAATGAAAATTTTAATTATTAAATAATTCTTGGAATAGCAATATTAAATACACATTGTTTCTATGCAAATAAGGGTTATTTTAGGATGTGCCGGATTCATAAATGTTGCTGCTACTTGTTTGATATAATTTAAGATGCACTATTACCAGCCAGGGAAGCTGGTGGTAAAGAGATTCATTTTTTTGTGCACATTTCCTTGTGATTATTGAAGCAGTAATTTATAGCCCTGTGTAAAAAATTTACCTTTCGCTGTCTTTAAGCCATTGTCTAGGTACATTTACGTGAACAGGGTTGAAGTGCCCCATGCACCACTAATTTTGTTGCCGTATTTGCTCAGTTAGCCTACCTCATTTACAAAATTCCTGTGTGAATCTGGTGCTGAAACAGTGCAGACAGCATGTGCAAATGACGCTAGCAGCGGGTGCAACTCATTCTCAATCCGTAAAAAGCAAAAACAACATTTTCTTGAGGTCTGGATCTCTTAATTTGATTCTCCTCTTGGCCGAAATTAATTATTCCTCCGTAAACCCCTGGGGATTGCGCATCTATCAAATGTTTGTTTATTCAGACTCTTATTTTGCTGGTTTAATTTGCCCCTTACTGTCTCATTATGTAGAGTGATGCATGATTGCATAGCAAATCCACAATGAATCTGAAATTAAAACAGACTTAAAATAGTCATCTCATTCATTAAGTAGGCCAATGAGGCTTGAGAAATTAAATCAAATAGCAAATGAACAGGCATATGGCTAATCATGACTTTGTGACCTAACTGAAACTTTTTTTTCTAAAAAGTATGAAATAAACAACTCTGGAAAACTGAAGAGACAACACTAAGTGGTAGAAGCTTTGCCAACATTACTGTTGTCATGCAATGTTAGTGGTGTTTGCTAAGGTTGTCATCACTGTTACTACTTATCATACTAAGACTTGAGGATCTGAATAAACCCAAGTGATTTTAGTAATGACCTGGCAGAAAATAATAGAACCTAAAAATGTTATGCTCTCACATCTCACATGCTCTCACCCTAGCAACCACACACAACACCATAGCATCATGGCAACAACTTCTGCACATGCAAGTACCATGCAGCAACCACCTAGATCAGGGCTGCATGAAATCCGTTTTATTTTTTCTGTTTTTTTCCGTTTTCATTTTTTTGGATTCCGATTTTTTTTTTTCATTTTAATTTTCTAGATTCTGTTTTAATGGTTAAATTAAATTGTATTAATCAAAAAGCATGTGTAATTAATTGAAATCATAAAACTTACAATTCAGTTTTATTTTTACCAAATTCTGTTTTACATACATTTTTCTGGATTCCATTTTAATGGATTCATTTCATATTAATAATCAAAGCATTTCTAATAGTTTTTTCTAATGAAATTCTAATGATTTTATTTAAAATATATATATATTAGGCTTGCCGTGAAAGCCGCAACACCGGTTACGTCACTTGCCCACCGCGTCAACGACCCCCACCGTCGTTTTGATTTTTTATAGTAATAAAAATCATTTAGTTCAGTAAAAGAACAGTCACTACAATTAAAAACTGAACGCGGCTGCTCAATGCAGTTGAACGACAGTTGCATCACAGATCAGATTTAATTTATCCAGTGAGGAGAGTGAGTCGAGCTGACTGACAAGAAGAGAGGGGTGAGACAGACAAGACGATCGCGGATGATTTAGTTTAGAAACGAAATGCAAAAGTGCCTGCTTGACAATATTTTGGATTTTGAAAAGCC